ATGGTTTCTGCAATATGGAACTGGGCAGGTAGAGTAAGCAGGCTTAAAACTAGTGAGCTTGAATATTTTCAACACTCTTTGGGATATAAAAACTGTCTTTACTTGTCTGGTCAAGGCAAGTACAGGGTGTGAGATCCTGACTGAAACCAAATAAAGTGGTGCTTGGAATAGGATTTCTGGATTGGTAGTTTGTATATGAAAGGACTGCTTTCATGAAAGTCTCTTACTATCTTTAGGAATTGCTATCCCTGAGATAGAAGTTTCTTCTATGATCATCAAGACCTCTAAATGTCAAAGCATTTGAATTGCATAAAATAAAAAGACATAATTTAGTGCAAATGCATTATAGAAGTCTGAAGTCCAAGTGAGATTGGTGATGGAGACATACATTTGAGGATTATCAACACAGTGACTCTGTGATGCAAGCTCCCTGGAATGAGTGACATTTTCCAGTAAGGTTCCTTTAGAAGGTAAGAGAAGAAGGTTTAGGATGGAACCCTGAAGAGGAACCTGTCATGAAAAGGATGTACAGAGAAAGAGGAGCATCTTAGGGACTGAGGGATGACCAAAGAAAGAGGAGGATATCCAGGAAGGTGAGGGAAGATGTTTTGTGTAGAAAGGGATGGAGTCAACATGTAAAATGCTATGACAAAGAAGAAAACGGAAAATATCCACTGAGTTTTCTTATAAAAGTAGAGAGGGCAAAATTCATATAGAAGGGGGTTGAGGACTGAGTGGGAGAGGAAGTGGTAGAAACATTGAGCAAAGGCAACTCTTTTAATAAGGTAATCTATGAAGAGGAAGAGACATAAGAGAAACTAAAAGGGGACATAGTAGGAAAGATTTATTTTTTTTTTTTTGATGGCAGAGGCTTGCTCATAGCTCACTTCTGTTGGGAAAGAGTAAGTAGAGAGAGAAAAATGTTAAAGACACATTAGAAAAACTGTGAATATTTGGTAAGACTGATTTAAATGCTCATATTATTCTTTTCAGAATTATTTATTAATCTGATAGTAACACCACTATTATTGCACTGTCACTACTGGAAACTGTAGAGAACTACATTCTTCCAGAATTGAGTAGATGTGAGAGTTCTAATAAGCGATACAAAATGATCAATATGATGACTCAAAGAGTACAAGATACATGATGATGAAAGTAGGGAGCTGATAGAAATATGGGGGTAAAAGATTATGGATGAGAAAATGAGGCAGGGCTTCATTAAAAAAGTTCTTGGTTTGAAATTCGGTACATAGGAGTCATGCATCAGATGGTGTGAAGGGCTATAAGGAAATGATCTGTTTGTTCTCTCCAAAAAAGAGAGGCAAATGTCCTGTATTATTATTTTGCTAAGTCTGAGCTTGTTTTCTTGGTGAAATTCAGGGTCCAATGGACACTGTTATCATTTAGATCTGAATTATTCCCCAAAAGCCCATATGTTGAAGGGCTTAGTCCCTAATGCTTCAATTATCTATCAGTAGGGCTTTTATGAAACGTTTGGAGAATGAAGGCTCTATCCTCATCATGGGATTAATTTGCTTGATAGGTTCATAATTTGAACGGAGTACAGAGAGGTGGTGGAAACTGTAGGCAGCTGGGACATGATTGGAGGAAGTATGTGGTTTGCCCTATATTTTGTATCTGGACCCTTCTCCCCTCCCCTCCCCTCTTCTCTTTGTCTCCATCCTAGAGAGTGTCTCTTTCTCGTAATGTTTGTCTCACCTGAGGCCCAGAACAATGGAGCCAGCTGTCTGAAACTCTGAATCTGTAAGCCAAAATAATCCTCTTCTCCTCCGAGTTGTTTGTGTCAGATATTTTGGTCACAGTGATGGAAAGCTGACTAACACAGGCTGTTGACTTTTGTCATCTCATTTTTTCTTCTGTTTTTTTTTCCTTCTTTTGTAAAATAAATTTTATAATGCATATTTAAGGTATAAAACATGATGTTATGACATACATATTAAATAGTGAAATAGTTACTATGAGGAAATGAATCAATCTCTATGCCATCATCTACAGTTTCTTATTTTTCTTTGTTTATGTGGCAAGAGCAGCTTAAATATATATTTTTTAGCATGAATCCCAAATATGGCACCATTTTATTACCTATATTCTTCCTGTTATCATTAGATCTCTAGACTTTTTCATTTTAAATATCTTCTACTTGTATTCTTTGATACATATTCTCTATTCCCCCTTCCCAGCTCATTTCTGGCAATGATGTTTGTTATTTTTTAATATCTACTTTTCTTTTACATAACACATAGAAGTGAGATCATGCATTTTTTGTTTTCTGCTTCTGTCTTACTTCCCTTATACAATGTATTCTAGTTTCATCCAAAATTGTAGCAATGACAAAATCTTCTCATCTTATCCATTCTGAGTTGTTTTTATGCATGGTATGAGATAAGCTCCAATTTCATTCTTTTGCATTGGAAATTTATAGTCTTCAATTTATGGATGAGAATATCATTTCCTCATTATGTCCTCTTAATGCCCTGGTGAAAAATTAGCCATATATGTTAGAATTTATTTCTGTTCAAGTCTTTTATTCTACTGGTCTAGTGTTTAGCTAGTTTGTGTGTGTGTTTGCTGATGCTACACTGTTTTGATTACTGTTGTTTATAATAAAATTTTAAATCAGAAGATGTGATACTTTTGACTTGGCTTTTTTCCCCCTAGGAATTGTTTTGGTTATTTGGGCTTGTCTTTTGGTTTTTATGAATGACTGTCAAATTTACAAGTCTCAAGTCTTCCAATCCATATTTGTCCAATGGAGGTTTGAAAGCTAAATTTAATTCTCCCAGTTCAAAGATATCTCATCATCATATCTACCATAATTGCCATGTATTGTTTTACAGATCTAGGTTTCAACATAATGAAATTCCTTTGGATTATAGTTCTATTGTTTATCATTTCAATTATAGTTATAAGCATTTGTTCAACTTCAAATATATGAAGCATATCTATATGGCATTATAAATATTATTGGTGAACATATAGAGCAGGAATGGTTAACAGTCTTGTGGTACTAAATGACAAAAAGTGCAGGTGTATTAATTTTTTAATGCTACACAGGAAACAAATATTTCTGGGGCATTTATGTGCACAGGACATTGTGTCTCAGGGTAGGTAATGCATTCATTAATTCATTCAACAATATTTGCCAAGAGCTGCCCTGGAAGATGAAAATATTATGATGAATAAATTCAGCAGATCTAGTTGCATGGAACTTAAAGATTAATTATAGAGGAAGACAAGTGTTAAAAGTGAGAATAGCTCTTTTATTTTTGGTAAGTTACAGAATGTATCATATTATTTAGTCCCAAACTAAGTAAAATGGTTCATTTTCTTTGTTTTCAGGTAAGTAAGTTAAGACTCATAGAAATAAATTTTTCAAAACAGATGGCTCATCTGTCAGGGGTAGAATTGATTGGTTGGGATCTGGTATGTACACTAAGGCTGTTTTAAGGAAAAAAAACAGCTTTGGAGTATTGGTGAAGTTACATATGAATTAACAGTTTTTATAATAAATTCACATTTCATTTAACTTTTCCATAAGGTCCTCAAGGATAGTCTCCAAATTCATCATCATTGATCCAGCATTGATCCATTGATGATGATCTTCTAGTTCAGTAAATTTGGCATTAGAGGAATCAGCTAGTTAGGAAAAGATATTTCATATTGAGCAGAAGCCAGACTTTTTTTAATCACCAGTTTCCTGCTTTACTTTTTGATATATTTTCATATGAAATAATTGGATTTTTACCACAAGAAAGATCAATCTTTCAAGGAAGGCAATTTTGATGCATACCCCACTTCAGTAGTTCATCAAAATGTGTTATATGTTAGTCTGCAAGTTTCTTGGAGGAAGTGAACTGCCATGAGATTTGATGGAGGGTCAAATGTTTCATGCAAAAAAAATTTATCTGAGAGCTACTATGTGGCATGAATGAAAGTAACATCACCATATCTTAAGTACCATAAAAATGCTTTTAAATACTTTTAAATTACTTTTAAATACAATTTGTTTTCTACCACTCAACTTAAAAAGGGACAGAGAAAAGAATATTAGTGATTGGCCAAGTACTAGAAAGAAAATTCACAAAGAGAGCTATGTTAGAAAGGAAAGAATAGCTTTTTCTGTGCAGTTGAAATATGAGATTTATTAGCTGAAGAAGTGGAAGGAGGGGTATTCAAGGTGTGATGGATAACACATTATATGGAGTATATCTTCTGTTAATTGTTCTTTTTTCCTCCAGAGTCTTGAATCAACACTCTTCTCAGTCCTATGTGACAGGTGTCAGCTGGTCATGAGAAGGGCAGCAGGATAGGTGCACTGGCTATGATATCCCAGCAGAAGGTAGCTTATCAACACCCACAGATCAAACTCACAATTACACTCTTTTTTAAAAAAATTTTAAAATGGACACAATACCCTTATTTTATTTATTTTTATGTGGTGCTGAGGATTAATCCCAGTGCCTCACACATGCCAGGCAAGTGCTCCACCACTGAGCCACAACCTTAACCCCAGTCTGATTAATTCTTGATTAAAATCTGAAATAAGATACCCTACAAAAAGGACAGGGGCAAAAGATAACAACAGAGAATAATAATGCTGCATTTTTACATGTTAGATATTTAAAATGAATTTCTACATTACTACATTTTGTCTTAAACTCAGTGCAATGAGGAGGGAAAACACCATCTCTATTTTTAGGCAAAGATGTAGCAGATCCAGAGGACTGGGTGACCTGACCAAAGAAAAAACAGACAGCAAGACTATGGTTGAAACAATAATGCCAGCATTCCTGACCTAGTGATTTGCAGTACAAAGAACAGAGTAAGAGTAGAAGACTGGTCAGAAATGAACTAAATAGAAAAACAGAAAATAGAAAGCATGATTTTGTAGCACTGAGGGAATATTGTAAAATATTTTTAATTCATTTTCTTCATAGAGGACATTGAATTTTCTTCTATTATTTGTGCAGGTGAAAGGCTATGGGAAGTTTCAACACCAGTTTTGGAGAGGGCTTCATTTTGGTGGGCTTCTCAGATTGGCCTCAACTGGAATTCATCCTTTTTATCTATATTTCACTTTTCTACTCCCTAACTCTCATTGGAAACACCACCATCATTGTACTCTCACAACTGGACCCTCGACTGCACACACCCATGTACTTCTTCCTCTGCCACCTCTCCTTCCTGGACCTCTGTTATATCACCAGCACTGTGCCCCAGCTGCTGATCAATCTTTCTGGACTGGACAGGACCATTAGCTATGGACGGTGTGTGGCTCAGCTCTTCTTTTACCTTGCTCTGGGCTCCACTGAATGTGTGCTTCTGGTGGTGATGGCCTTTGACCGCTATGCTGCTGTGTGTCGTCCACTCCACTACACAGCCATCATGAACCCCCTTCTCTGTCACTCCCTGGCTATTGCTGCCTGGGTGGGAGGTCTCATGAACTCTCTGATTCAGACAAGCCTCATGATGGCCATGCCTCTCTGTGGCCTCCATTATCTGAACCACTTCTTCTGTGAGATGCTTGTACTCCAGAAGTTGGCTTGTGAGGACACAGGAGGCACAGAGGCCAAGATATTTGTGGCCCGAGTCATAATCATTGTTATTCCTGCAGCACTGATTCTAGGCTCCTATGCACACATTGCTCAGGCAGTTCTGAGGATCAAGTCAATGTCAGGGCGCAGAAAGGCTTTTGGGACATGTGGGTCCCACCTCCTTGTGGTTTGTCTGTTTTATGGCTCAGCCATGTACACATACCTCCAACCCACAGGCAGTTACTCTGAGAGCGAGGGAAAATTTGTTGCCCTTTTTTATACTATCATCATCCCTATGCTCAATCCTCTGATCTATACCCTAAGGAACAAGGATGTGAAGGGAGCTCTGTGGAAGGTATTGGGGAGAGGCAGAGACTCTGGGTAACAGAAGAAAAGAGGGTTAGTAGTAACATTTCTTGTCAACAGTTCTCTGATATGGAGTCCATCCTGCTTCTTGTAGAGTAGTTAGTGTGTAGAAAATAGTTCTCAGTTGGCCCTGGTTTTTATTGCTTTCCTTGTTTGGAAGTTTGAAGGGGAGATCTCTTGAGATGTTTACTTGCTATGGTCACTGTGCAGTGGGGAGTAAGTGCTGATTTGTATCACCACTTTTTAAGGGAATGAGATGGGAATAGGGTGGATCTTGACCACTTATGCAGAATAAGGTTGGGTTCTTGGCGTGTCTGAACGTCAGAAAAGGATCAATTTAGAATGACCACACTTTTACCAACAGCCAGATTCTGACATGGTGCCATATATGGCACCATGACAAAGTCATAGGACATAAGTTCACCCCGATGTTCTAATTTTTTGTGACTCTGGCCATAATCATTCATATCTCAAGGCCTGTTTAAAAAGTCTCTTACAGTTGTTCCCCTTCTGTGATACTTTGAGCAAATAATTTTAAACAGCCACTTCATGAAACAGACCTGCTGTTATTTACCCATTGAAGAAAGAGGTAATGTCAATTGACCATCACTGCATAAAGGGAGAGAGCAATAGCTTATCAGCCTCACCAGAGTCTCAGTCAGGCTGCTTGGTGTCATGCTGCATGGAGAAGAAATTTGCCATGTAAGATAGAAGAGAACAGAGAAGAAATGAGTATACAAATAATGAACTAATAAGAGAAATTTTAAAATAAAAAAGTTCATGCTGTACTCAATTGGAAGAAAATCATATAGAAAAAAATCATTATTTCAAAGAGAGTTATAAAATAAATAAAAAGCAAAATAAAAGATTTATAAATATTTATCATTTGACATGGATCTGAATGTTCATTTCTGGGCTTTTCTATATTTCATATTTCTACATATGCATTTCATGGTGGTAACCCACATTCCTACCACTCATTTAATTCCATGTACTTAAATGAGGGTTTCATAACAAAAAGTGTAAGTATGTTTGTTATAAGACCTTTTGCAGTTTTCTCAAATTTCAATTTGATTCAATCATCTTTTACTTCAATTACAATAATATTTGCCTAATATTTGAAAACTTGTTTTGTGTAAGTTGTCATTAATTCTATAACAACATTGAGTTATATTCACTGCCTATTCATTATGAAGTTAAGGTTCAAAAGTTTTAAATAATTTACTCAAGTTTAAATAGAAAATAAAGTGCAAAGGCAAGGCCCAGGCTTCTGCAATCCCAAACAAACCCTTAGCATAACATGCTGCCAGTTCTATTTTCTGAGAGCAAATGTCATAATGATTGAGATTAGGAAGAAATGTTGGAGAGGTGAGCAGGATGCCAAGATGGTACAATGAAGAAAGGAGTTCTCATTAGCAAATGGTTTTTAGAAAACTGGCTCTCTTCTTGCGATGGATGAATTTAGATTCTTATCTTATGACATATATAAGATTAAAAGATATCAAATACCTAAACATAAAATGGAAAACTATGAAACTCTTAGAAAAAGACACAAGGAAAAATCTTGGTGACATTTCATTTGGCAATGATTTCCTGCATATTGCACTAAAAGCATGGGTAGCATTAGTTAAACTGGATCTACAGGGCCCTGTCAAAATTAAAAACTTCTGTACATCAAAGGACACAATCAACAGAGTGAAAGGGCAAAGTACTCAATGGGAGATCACTGGGTACTTCCAAATCACATATCTACTAATATATAAAGGCCATCTACAACTCAACAACAACAACAACAACAAAATTTAATAACATCGCTAAAAAGAATGTTCAGAGGAGTTAAAGAGACATTGTTCTTAAAAAGCTACGTGAATAGTGTATGAAAAGATGCCAACATAAAAAATCATTAGGATCATGCAAATCAAAACCACAAGCACAATCTACTTATACCCATTAGGTTAAATACTATTTAAAAAACTAAACATAAGAAGGATTGTGAGAAAATGGAAAAATTGAAACTCCTCATGTACTCTTGGAGGGAAGGTAGATTGGTATCATCTCTATAGAAAACAGCATGGAGTTTCACAAAATAAATAAATGAAAGTAGAATTACCATAGGATCCAGCAATTTTTATTTCCGAGTCTATATCCAAAATAATTGAAAGCAGGATTTCAGAGATTTGCTTGCATACCCATGGTATTAGTTTCTTTATAGACAGGACCAAAGAGAAAGAGAAAGGTGTGTGGGTGAGAGACAGACAGGTATGAAGGCATTCATCAAAGGAATTTGCACATGCAATTTTGGAGGATGAGAAGCCTCACAATAGGCCACCTGCAAGCTGGAGACCCTGTAATGCCAGTAGGAGAGCTCAGCTCAAGTCTGAGAGTCTCCGAACTAAGGAAATCAATGTGTAACTTTCATGCAAAGGTGAAGTCCTAAAAACTGAGGACTGTGAGTCCAAAGGCTAAGATGGCTAGAATCCTAGTATCCAATGGCAGAAGAAGATGGGTGTCGAGAGAGAGAGAGAGAGAGAGAGAGAGAGAGAGAGAGAGAGAGAGAGA